CTACTATAAAATTTATACATAGATACTATATGAGCTTCTCAGGACTATAATTTACATCCTTTTTAGAAAAACAGAACAAATCCACCCACACAAAGGCCAATATCCCTAACCTGCATATGAATCAAGCAATCTCCTCTTTACGTATAAAAGGATGCAAAAAATGAATGCAGCTCTTTTCATTGTTGACTGTTAGTTTACATGTTCAAACTCTCTCTTGCCAGGCAGGTAAAGAGGCTGGCTGCTTTTGTCATAATCAAAGTGCAAAAACACACGTAAAGAAGTCTATACTAAAGACACCGTCCAATAAAATCTTTATCATCTTAAAACACTTTTCAAACTTTTAATTAGCACCTCTTGCAAAATATTTTAAATGTATTTTAAACTGCAGTTTGTGAAATCATGAACCCTGAAAATATTTAACCCACTGCTACAAATGAATTTCATAAAACTACACTTTGAGATTTCACTTCCAAAACCTTGCTGTAATTTAAATAGCAAAATCTACCTAAAACTTTAAAGTGCCATTTTAAAAACATACATGTTTACATTGAGTTTTTAAGGAGAATTGCTTTAACCAACAACAAAAATGAAAGGAAGAAAATAAAAAATATTCTGTTTAAAACTAAAAGAAAATTCTAGAATTTATTAATAAGGTAAACCATATTCTCACCTTTGCCTTAGAGCCCAAGACACTTCACCTAAATTTTGCTATCATCCTGACAATAAATGTTAGCAATCTACATAGTGTAATTTCATAGCCATAAACCAGTCAGAAAACTTCAGATTAAGTATCTAGAAGGCTAAGAAGCTGAATTTCTGTTACCTGCAAGTTGTCAGAAGGCTACACTAATGGGCTCAACTAATTATTTATTGCTCCCCAACACCTACCCAATTCTTTTTATAATAGTCAGGAACCTAATAAGCATCAACCAATAGGGAGAAAGTATCTCAGCGAAGCAAACTCCTTTAACACCTTTAGCTTCTGAAAACCCGGAGTGAGTTCCCACACAATACCTGATTAGCTAATTAATCAGTTGGAAAACTTCATTTTCTTCACCACACACAAAATAAGTCCAGGTATTCATCCTTTTACCTAACATAATGTCACCCATGTATTCCTCAATATAAGCCTACTCTAGCAAAGTCAACATCGCCTACTGGCTAAAGTTTTGGGATAATTTGGAATCACGACCCATCGATTTCTAATGAGTAACCTTCAGCGAGTTATTTAAATTCATTGCCTGATTTCTCTGTGTATCTAGTATAGGAATCCTGTAAGTCATAGGATTATTGTGAAGAGCAAATGGGATAACCTAAAACGCTTAGAACAGTTGGACACTTTGAAAGCCCATCATAAACCCTACTTCTTATGGTCACTGGGTACTAAATAAAACGTCAGCAGTGGTCACGTCTAGAGAGGAGCAGGATGGGAGAGGAGTACCGGTAGACCACAACTTAAAACCTTTACACTTCTGTGTTCCAATTTTTCATAATGCACATGTATCTCATGAGTTACTTGCATAATTTCTCATTTTTAAAACACTGTCCTATCGAAAATGGTGTTTGGCACTGTAACTGAGTGCGAAAATGTTCTTGCTGTGCAGGGGATCAGAAGTCGCTGTGAGCATCTGGAAAGCCCGGGGAGCCTTCGCTGCGCGTCTGCCAGCACCTCGCGCGGGCCGGAGAGCCTCGGGACGCCCGTGGCCGGAGGGGTGCAGCAGGGGTGCAGCGTGGGCCCCGCTCCCGCCCGCTCCCAGCCCGGGGGAGAGCCGCGACCGCAGCCGGACGGGGCTGAGGGTCGGGGTCCAGCGAAGGCACTTACTTGAACCTGCCCTGGCAGTGCTGGCACTGGTCCCCCACCCAGCCCGGGTCGCAGAGGCAAGTGGAGTTGACACAGCGGCCAGAGAAGCAGGAGCCGGTCCTCTCGCAGGGCTTAGACTGGGACACCTGCGCGTAGAGCGCCAGGTAGAGGAAGCCGTAGCACAGCAGCCAGCTGTTCCCGTCCAGCAGCCAGGAGGA